CAGGCTGGTCTTGAACTCCAACACTCAAGCGATCCTCCGCCCTCAGCCTCCCAGAGTGCTAGGATTACAGGCGTGAGCCACCACACCCAGTGGGCCTGGGTTCCTTTATCTAAAGGAATGAAGAAAATCAAGCCTGTGGATCTGAGAAAGTCAGTGTATGTGATGGCCTCTTTCAGGTACCACATGATTTTATTCCCTCAATCTGCAGAGCTGTGCAGCATTGCACCTTACGCCCAAGGACTCAGAAGATCTATGTGGAAACTCAGGTTCTATTTGTGGCAGACCAGAGACCCTGGGGAAATTCATGCCGTAACATAGAAGCAGCCCTTGAAGGGGAGAGGGCAGTGAGGTCAGGCTGGCCTTGATATCAAGACGGTTTTGTCATTTTTGGGAGTAATTGACACCCACTCTGGCCTCAGTTTCCCCATCCAGCTCATGCTGGCCCTCTCTGGTTTTGCCTCCGTACCACATATTCAACACAAATGTTTTGTTTGCCTTAATTGTCTGTCGGGCCCTATACTAATTGGTGGGAGACAATGGCAGGGCTCAGGGGCCCTGTCCTCTGTTGGGGGAGATTGCCAGGTGTTAAATGAGAGTATAAGTACATAGAGGAAAGGCACCAAAACCAGGGCAAAAGGATAGGACAGGCATTCTAGGCAGAGGGAACAATGTAAGTGATGGCATGGAGGCATGAAGCAGCATAATGTGTGTGTATAGAAGCCAGGCTGGAGAAGCAGACAGAGCACAGTGTAGAGAGGGCCTTGTAGGTTGTGTTGGGCAATTGGAAGTCACTGAAAGTTACGGGGTGTGGAAGTAATGGAGTTTGTTTTGCATGTGTTCCATATAATCACCAGCAAAATTTTTCAAGTGCAGCTGGGTGCGGTGGCTCATGCCTGTAATCCTAGCACTCTGGGAGGCTGAGGCAGGAGATTCGCTTAAGCTCAGGAGTTCGAGACCAGCCTGAGCAAGAGCAAGACCCCAGATCCTATCTCTACTAAAAATAGAAAAAATTAGCTGGGCATGGCAGTACAAGTCTGTAGTCCCAGCTACTTAGGAGGCTGAGGCAGGAGGATGGCTTGAGCCCAGGAGTTTGAGGTTGCTGTGAGCTAGGCTGATGCCATGCACTCTAGCCTGGGCAACAGAGCAAGATTCTGTCTCAAAAAAAAAAAAAATTATCAACTGCCTCTTAAGTGGGTGTGCTTTTCAATACATCATCCTGGAAGTATCTATTCACTTAAAGAAGCCCTGGTATCTGCTCACTGTACTAACTCTTCACATATATCTCATCTGATCCTTACAGTAGGTACCCATCCATGAAACAGATACAATTGTCATCCTCATTGAACAGATCAAGAATCTGAGGCTTGAAGAAATTAAGGTCACTTGCACGGATTTGAACCCTGCCTAACTCCACAGTCCATGCTCCCTACTGAATGACCCCTTTGGGCAGCATTGTGTGACCAGGCCACACAGATCTGGGCCCTGCCTTGGATAGCTGATGAACCAGTAGGATGGCAGGCAAGCCTTCATAATGGCTTTGATGAAGGAGTACACAGTGTGTGGTGAGAGTTGGTTCCCAGAGGAGGGCCTGATTTGTATTCTAGCAGGGTTGGTTGGATTGAGAGGTGGGGGAAGGGGGACAGGGAGAGTTCAGGAAGAAGGAACATTTCATAAAAGTAAGAACTTACAGAACATCCTGACTTGTTAGGGGAACTGTAGGCAGTTTTTGTGTGTTGTGGTCATATGTGAGGTGGATGGGCTGCAGGGGCGAGTTCTGTAAGATGCCACCAGGGAGGCAGCAGGAGCCAGAGCACTAAGGGCCTTGAGTGCCGACCTGAGGATTTGAAATTCCTCCCGCAAGTAGCAGGGGGCTGCTGAAGCTTGAAGCCAGGTGTGACACAATCTCATTTTCATTTTACAAGCTGATTTTCATGACTGCTGAGTGGAAAAAGGAGTGACTGGGGAAAGAGAGACAGAGAGGTCCATTGAGTAGGAGATTGTTCCAGAAATACAGGTTGGAGGTGATAGAGCCTGAACCAGGGCAGTGGTTATTGGGATGGTGGGGACAGGTTCAAGAGATAGTAAAGGTATCTGCATTTCAAAAAAAAAAAAAAAAAGAGAGAGATAGTAAAGAGATAGAGAGATCAGGACTTGGAGAGAATGGTTTCATTATTCATTGATTCATCCATTCGATAAATAACTGTTGAAAGTCTACCACACATCAGACACTGTTCTAAACACAAGGGACAAAGCCATAAACCTGACAGGTATGATCCCTGTTTTCATGAGGCTGGAAGAGAGGAACCAAAGTCAAGTAAACAAATGAACATGATAACAACTGAATGTGATAAGTTCTATTAAGGAAATAAACAGGTATAAAATAGTAACTGGGGGAGCCCATTTTTAGATAAAGGTGTGTCGTGGGGAGAAGCCCTTCTAAAGAGTGGATATTTCAGCTGAGACCTGAAAGATGAGAAAAAGACAGACACACAAAGAGGTGGGGAAGAAGGAGGAGGGCATTTTATGCAGAGGAAAAAGCCAAGTACAAAGACATTGGCACAAGAAAGGGCTTTAGGTGTTAAACACCAAGGAGGCCAGTGTGACAGAAGCCTAGTGAGCAAGGGAGCATGACAGGCTTGAGGTCACAGTGGAAGGAAGGGGGAAATTGGCCTCAGGCTATGGTAAGAACTGTAGGTTTTATGCTAAGAGGAATAGTCCAGGGAGGCATTGAGGGCTTGTAACTGGAGCAGCAGCAAAATCTGATTTATACATTTACAAAAATCCTACCTGCTGCTGTTTAGAAAATGGACTGTAGTGGGGGCAGAGTGGAAAATGGATTGTAGGGGGGCAGAGTGGAGGCTGGGAATCCGGTGAAGATTAGGAGACAAATGCTGTAACCCAAGAGAGAGATAACAAGCTGCAAGTTCTAGGGTGGGAGTGGGGATGGAGGGACGTGAATAGATTCAAAACACATTTTGGAGACAGAATCAACAGGTTTCAGTGGTGGATTGGACGTGGCAGGTGAAGAAGGAGTCAAGGACGTGATGTGGGTTTTTAACTTGAGCCCACAGTGGTGGTGCCATTTACTGAGATGATGAAGACAGGAGAAAAACAGGTGTACTTGGTATTGAGGAAGGAGATTAAGAGCTCTGTTTTGGAGAAAGTGAGTTTGACATGCCTGTTAGCATCCATGTGGAAATATCAGGAAGACAAATGGCGGAAGTATCGTCTGGAGTTCTGGGAAAAAGGGCAGTCTGGAGACATAATATTGGAAATTAGCATGCATTAATAGTTGATAATTAAGTCATAGAATTGGAAGAGATAGAAAAGAAAAAAGGAAGGAAGGAAGAAAAAAGAAAGAAGATTCAATGAGAGGTCTGATCGAGGAAGATTTTTTAGCAAAGGAGATTAACAAGGAGCAGCCAGTAGCTAGGAAGAAACCCGGAGAGTGTGATGTCGTGGAAGTTGAGAGGAGGGAGTCAAGGAGGGAGTCATCGGCTGCATGAGAGGTTCAACGAA